GTTTCAGCCTTCTGGAGTTTTGTTCAGTGTTCTGGAACCAATTGCAAACAGAGGCAAATCGGGGCATCGCGATGAATTTTTCGGCTAGGCGACTCGAGCATGCATTTATTCCTTGTCATTCAAGACTGAGCTGAGGCAGTCCATTTCATATGTTTTGCATGCTAGCTAATTTATTTTAGTTAATTTGTTGATTAATTAGGGTTGTGTAATAATTCACTATAATTCGTTATTCATTCGGTTGTGTATTATTTATTTGGACCCTCCGAGGAGGGCAATGTTGTAATAAGTGTGCGTGTGTGTGAGGCATGTCTTCCAACCCCCATTTCTTTCTCCCTATTATTTACCAGCTTACGATGGTTAGTTTTAGGGCATGTTTCAATTAGCATCCCTATGCTCGCATGTTTGCATCCATTCATTTATCTTGCATGCACTGGGCTCGGCACATCATACTAATTGCATTGTATTTCAATTCCAAGTTGAATACATGTTATCTGTTACATTTCATATGTCATGTTTAGAATAGCCGAGCCTATCTTAGTTGCATTTTGCATGTGTTGCATTAGCCATCTTAACATGAGTTGGGATTCATGCGTGATTTCTAATTAGCTTCTTTCTTTGGCTTGGAGTACTCGGTAAGTATTTATGCTTTAGCATCCTTGCATCGTGTGAGTGACTGCCATGATAGCATGCTTGCCATGAGGCTATGTGCTTATATGATATAACTGCCTGAATGCCTGTGGGTGAAGGTTGGGTTGCTTGAATTGGAATAATTCGTCGAAACCCGTGTTTTAGCCTACTTGTGAGTAGCAAACTTCAATCCATTTTCAAAACAAACGGATATGCGATGCTTTGTTCCAACTTAGGCAATCTAGTCTATACTTGTATGCTATGTGCATCACATAGTAATTCTAGGCTAATAACCAGAATAAGAGCACATAATGTTTTCAAAACTCGATATCATGGTTAGTAGAGGCCGATCTTTGATCGGGCGAGCGGGGGTGCTCACGAAGTGACCTTCCCCAATCGTACCTAAGTTCCCGAGCCGAGGCAACTTTGGTGATGACAGACACGTGGCCTTAGGCATGAGTCAGGGTTTCGTAAATTCTCCTAAAATAAAATATTTAGGTGGCGACTTTGTATCTGGCAAAGCAGTCCATGTTTGGCACTTTTTTCTAAAAATCAGTTTTTTCAAAACGATTTGCTGGATTTGGACTCTTTGATGATTCATTGATCTTGCATTGCACTCTGCGAGATTAGATACAGGACTGTGACATTGAGTCCGAACTGTAGTAAGCCCAATGGACAAAATGGGATTCCCTCCCGGGACGTTCGGGGACGTCTATAGTTTCTGGCAACTCTGCTGGGGATTTAGAGAACTTGACTCGAACTCATGATATCTTGTTTTGATTACACTTATGTGTTTCTTTGCATTGCATTTGCATTGGTGCGCCTAGGACATTGTGTTTGCCATCTGTTATTCCTGAACGGTTTGCCAGAGGCTCGCTTTGAGAAGCGTGCCATAAGGCTGACCGGTTACGGGCCCTGCCACGATGGGAACACAAACCCCAGTTTTTACCGGGGCACCCTGTTTGACCATTTGACCTAGTGCATGTTCGGAATCTATAGTTACCATTCCAAACTAGGACATGTTGCTTACCCGATTGTAGGTTCTTTGAAACCGCTGCGTGCGTAGTGAAACCCTAGCTCCTGAAAAAATAGAACAGGGAAACCTGACCCCACCATAGGGGTGTTTTGGCTCTCATTTGCTTGCTACATGCTTTTAGAGTATGGCTCTACAGGAATGCACGTATCAGTTTGTGAGTCTGGGTATCAGACCTGCGGGCATCAGCATTTTGAGAATCAGTTATATCTGCGGGTATCCGATTCAGTTTTGGGACAGTCATTTGGGGAACAGTGATCAGTGGTCGATTACAGTTATTCAGCTATGCTTATGTCTATTCTGGTAAAATTGGGCTAAGATGCTGCCTGTTTTCTCTTTCAAAGGGGTTAAGAGATTCGGTTCTGAGCAACCAGTGTTTTCCTTCGCTGAGGCAAGTTAAAGAAGGCCAGTCAAGGCTTACTGGTTCATCTGATCCGTCAGTCACCGGTCGTATCACCTTCATCCAAACTTAGCAGACCGTGATGGCACAGAGTTCGGAAGAAGTTGTGGCCATGGTAGCAGCGTTAAACCAGGGAATCGCCATGCAGGGTGAGACCGATGTCGAAATGCAACACCCATCTAGGGCACCTACCACACATCCAGTCTCGGAATCCCAATCATCTCAAACCCGTGAACCCATCACTTCTGAGCTGATGAGGCTGATTGAAGATCTTCAAAAAACAGTAACGGATTTAGCCTATGGAGTTTTGGCTCCATCATCAACTACATCGCCTACCAGGGATTTCACACCAAAGGGCTTCCCAATCTTAGGACTAGCTGCATTGGAAGAAGGCTAGTCTCCTGGCAGAGTGGAGGCCAGTGGTAAGAACAAGGTTGGGGCGGACATTGGTCCCCATGAACACCTGCGGTGGGCTATTAAGGCTTTGAAAGCCGAGGGGCTGAACAAACAGCAAGCGATCGCAATTATTGCACAGATTGTGGATGACACTTTTGCCACTCAGAATGAGAGCAGTCTGAGTCAAGGGGCAAACCGGGAGAAGGGCCGTCGTACCAGAAACAATCCTTTGAGCTCTAATCCTACACTCGGAAGAGATTGACAAACCAAGCCAGCACCTGCCGACCCTTTTGCCAGTGCGTCTGGCAAAAATCTACAAACCTCGAAGTATCTACCCCGAGGTCGTAGGGTCTTTCATGCCCTCTATATGCCTTTATCCAAGGCATTTCAGATCCTTGCTAAAAACGGCCATCTCAAACCCCTTGAGCCTCAGCCTCTCCTGTATCCTTTTCCGGCTACGCATGATGCTGCCCAGTACTGTGCCTTCCATCAACAAACCGGTCATGGCACTGACAGTTGCGTCCGTCTTCACCACGAGATACAAAATTTGATTGACAATAAGGTCATCGTCACATCGGGTCCTGCAAAGTCTATCGGCACTTGATCCGTAAACTCTTGAGGGAAAATATGAGTATGTGATCAGGGGTTGGTCCACCTGCGGGCGGCGCTCGATTTATTTCGGATGTGGCGTTTGGCACGCACTATTTTGAGCATTTGCGAATGCTATTTTTTGTACTTTCTGACTTGGGTGTTGAGTCGGTTCTATGGTTTTGTTTCGAGTTTGTCTCGTTGTTTTGAATCAGTCTTTTTGATTAAGGTCTGTCTTATTGTATCGAGTCAGTCCTGTTGTACGGAAGTCAGGTGATTCCGGGGGTGTTACCTCGGACATCACTCTCTTGTTTTGTGTTTGTCTTTTACACTCTTTTGAGTCTGTTTCTGCCTTGGAGCCAGTTACACCAGAAGATCTAAATAAAACAGCAGTGATTTTCACACTCTTGTGTTTGCTTCTGCCTTGTGCTAGTCGTGCCAGAAGTTCTGAATGTGACGGTCGTACATTTCACCTGCTCTTTTGCGCCTTAAAATCATTGCATTGACCTGAGTTTTTTTCAAAACTTTTTGAACATTGTGATGAAAACAAAGAGGAAGGAATTCCTCGGGATTTGTAAAATTTTTTTGATCAATTGAGAGAAAGAGAGGCATGCTAAGCCCTTAATGATTGAGATCATGTTTGTTAATGTGAGTACTGAGAAGGATCCTGGCTTGATCCAGATTGATTCTGCATTGTCTTCGACGCGAGCGATTAGTCGCTTTCTTAAAAATTTTCAAAAAATGTTTCGCGTGGTTCTACGAAGACCTGTGTCGAATCGCTCTTGAGATTGTGCAGCTTAGGATCGCTCTCAGCCTTGAGACTCAACCCCTTTGCTTCCAAACCTTGAACCTTAATTCAGAATGTTCAATGGTCAACCACAATGTAAGGCCTGCGTGGCCGGATCAGAAGCAACCCATGAACTAGGGGCGAGAATATCAGATGTGATCATAGGAAGCCTGCGATGCTAGATCAAAAGCATCCCTTGAACTAGGGGCAAAAATGTCAGATGCGCTCGAAGAGTCAAAGATGAGTCTTTTCTACAAACCAGGAAAGACTGGCAAGAATGCCAAGTCCCAGAAGGGGGAAAGAATAAAGTATTGCTAAAGGATAACCGAGTTCCTATCCACAACACTAGGGGCAAATTCAGCCAGCCATTGGATGGACTCCTGCATCGTCAGCGAACAGCAGCCATTCTCCTGGATTCAGATGACTTCAGGATCTACTGCTGGAAAAATGACTTTTAGCGGCGTTTTAAAAACGCCGCTATATGTATGAAAAACGCCGCTAATTCCTTTAGTGACGCTTATCACCAAACGTCGAGGACGCGGCCGTCGCTATAAGTTTATGACGCTTTAAAAACGTCGTAAAATTAGTATAGGCGGCGTTTTTAAAAACGCCGCTAAATGCGATAAATAATGATAAAATGACGTCATCCAATATTTAGCGACGTTTTTAAAACGCCGTGATAGATTTTTTTATTTTAAAAAAATGTCCGTTGGCACTGTAGTGGCGTTTTGAAAAAACGCCGTTATAGCTCTTTTTTTTAAAAAAAAATTGTTCTGAATCTGTTATATTTAACTAAAAAACATACCTGTAATAAAGCTGAAAAATAACAATAATATGAATAAAATTTTACAGCTACTTCAATATATTGACTAAATAAACATTACATGATTGTGTCTGAACCAAAATCAAACAACAAACACAATCAAAAAATAAAAAGAAAAAATAGGTTAAGTCATTTGCTTGCACATGCAGATGCAATGGAATAGTCAAGCATATTACACATCATTACACTGCAGAATAGGGATTCGTATTCAATTAATCATAATAGGTTCATATACAACAAAGACAATTTTGAGCCCAGTCAACACAAAGGAATGCAGAGAGCCCGGTGAACAGTGGCGCTGACAACTTCTCCAACTTCTTCATATAATTTGTAAAACGTTTTTGCCCACAGTAAAACGTTTGGGTAAAACAAATGTTAAAAAGTCAATAAAGTGAATAATATTGAACTAGCATGAACAAATTGCAGGGGTGACACTTCCTACAATTGAAAATTATACATGTTTCACCCATCACTAGTACAAAAAAACAAAAATGCAAAGCTTAAAATTTATGAAAAAACAGAAACATGACCTCTCATAATTTGAATTCACAAATGCAATCGGGCAAAGCAGAACCTCTTCCCATCAAAAAATCATCTCTATGCCCCTTCCAAAGTGCTTCCATCAACTCCCTCCCCTCCAAGCCCTGAGAAGTGAACTCAGCAAAAGCCCTTCTGCTCAAGAAAAGAGCTTTAAACAACCCCTTGAAAGCCCGCAATGCCGCAACCATCTTATCCATGTTCCCAAAATATGTGGCCACATATGAATCGCTGTTGATCGATACATAATAATCCAGTGCAGCTTTTGTGTTCCCATGCATGCTTGTAAAGTCCTCACCACTAAGAAATGTAGCTTTTGTAAAAAAAATTAGTGTAAACAAAGGTTAGCCCTCCAAGTTCCATAAGACCATCTCCGGCCGCCAAATAAATGTTTGTGTTTTTTGGGATGGAAAGAGCTTGAAGGATGAAAGCAGTCTCTTTAGGAGTGAGGGGGCATTTCCCACGATTTCGCCAAACACAGGCAGCTTCTCCAGTCCAGGGTTTTTGATCTCCAAGTGCGGCCTCTATGGCTTCCATGGAAACAGAAGAGAGACCAGAATAGTTGCACTGGCAATAAGCTACCATGTCAGGTTCAAACCGAAAGTGAAGTGAGAGAAAGGGTTTGGGTATGGCTTGTAGAAGCTCAGAGCCTTTCTTCGCCAAGGCTCTGGTAAGGCATATTGTATTGTAACAAGCCTGACAATGGGCAGAGGGGCATGGTGTAGACACCCCATTTCTGACCGTCCTCAAGACTAGGACGTCATCGTTTGAACACTCGATGATCATTCATGTTCGTGTTC